CAACACTTCCCATGACATCGTTCAAACTTGTTCAAAACTTCGGAACGCTCACAATAACATCAAATCACCAATTTAATATAGGATTCAAGCCTAAGAACTCCAAGAACTCTTAAATTATGCTTTCGATCAAAAATCAATCAAATCTCGTCTGAATGACCTGAAATTTTGCACACACATCCCAAATGACACAACGAAGCTACTGAAACTCTTGGAATTCTATTCCGACCCCTATATTAAAATCTCGCCTATCAACCGGAAAACGACGAAATCTCAATTTCGCCAATTCAAGCCTAAATCTTCTGTGCAACTCCAAAACCCATTCCAATCGCGCTCCTAAGTCACAAATCACCTAACGGAGCTAACCAAACCATAAAAATTCCAATCCGAGATCAAATACGCACAAGTCAAATCTTGGTCAAACATTTCAAATTTTAAGCTTTCAACTGAGTCCGTTCTTCCAAATTAAATTCTGATTAACTTGAAACCCAACACCAACTATTTACATAAGTCATATTGCATCACACGGAGCAAGTCATGCCCGAGAACTAGCGAGCGAAATGCAAAAGCTCAAAACGACCGGTTGGGTCGTTACATCGTTGTTTCTCCAAGTCCTTCACTGTCATAAAGAGGTGCATTTTGTGTGCTAGACATGACTAAGCCTGAAATCAAAAAATCTTTGACAAGAAAAAGTGTGAAGGATAACGTGTGTTATCAGAAAACTAGCACCAAAATAATCCTATTATTTTTAGCTCCACGGTGGGCTCCAAACTGTTTACCTTGAAAATGGTATTAATAATTATATTTGATTTGTGGTTCTAAAAATATGTGATTTATCTTAATACTAGTTGTTATGTGAACAATGCTAAGTATAAATGAGCAAGAAATGATAGGCAAACCCGTATGGTCACAAGGTTGAGGGCCTCGAGCTCAGCGACAGAGGACCTCGAGGGCAGCCTTTAATGGTTGATAATGAACAATAGATGAACAAATGATGAACAATAAATGAACACAATGAATGATGAACAATAAAGATGTAGAGTAATTTTTGAGCACGTTTAGGCAAGAAAAGCATAGAATGTTATATTGTATTCAATATTCCTATGTCTTATAAAATGACAAGGGTCCCCTTTATATAGGAGGGGGAAATCCCAACATAGTACATGTCTAATAATAATGAGGAAATGCTATTGGTACAACTGTATAATGGCTTAGTACGAATTTGTACTATTATTGCAGACTTGGTCAGCTCTAACCACGTGTACTTGGGAGCTTTCCCGCCTTTCCATGACGATCATCGATTCATACTGCTCCGATATTGACCATAGTGAGCCTTCGATATGCTCCCTCGAGGGACGCACCTCGGGGTCACACTTCAAATTCAATTTCGAGCTCCTCGAGGTTGGGCATGAAGTGCCACAGTGGCCCCAAAGTCGAATTTACCGATATTGGCCTTATACAGTAATAAGTTACTTATAGATGAATTATTGCACATTCTATCATACATAAAATAAAAAAAACATAAATTTTTTGCATAACTTAATATGGGTATTATTTAGTACCACCAGCATCCAAAAGTTACATTAATTATGCGGCGATTGTTTTTTCTTATACAACCAACCAAACATTGTATAATATCTTATGTGAGATTTTATACTAGGTAATAGCCCTAATACCATCAATCAAACAACCCCTTAAGAGTGTCGATGGAAACATGTTTTGTGTAAGAACTACGACGACTATCATGATAGGTACTTTTAACCAACTAAAATTTAAGAAAGATTATAGGACTTAATGACTATTCCTAAACATGCACTATCCACTTGTATCAATAATTTACATTTATAGCATAAAGAACATAGCATTTACTCCTATTTCAGAATAGTTTTCCACATCCATTCAAAAAAATTTATTTTAAAAAAAATACTTCTTTTTTAATATTCACTAATTTGGAAGTTCAAGTTCTTGTTGCATCTCTTTATTTAGGAAACATGAAAAGGATATTGGCTGCAGGATCTAAGGTTGCGTATGAAATCCAAATAAACCAATTTATGCTCAACTCGAACTCTACTTCAAATGGAACTTAAGATGTACGAATGGAAATAGGGGACTGCTACTTCAATGCCATAACAAGTCAAATAGGTAGAATATCACTTGGGCTGTCAACTTTGGCACCAAGCCCAAATGATTCGCCTAACTCATCTAGGCTTGGGCTTGTTATTGACCCGCCCATTTAATGAACTCAGTACATCTTGGCCCAACTCAATTCAACATATTTAAAGTTGGACTGATTTTTAGTCCAAATTGAGTAAAAATTGCGTGGGATAGCCACTTTTTAAAGTAGTATTTAGTTTTTATTCAGTATTTTTAATGCTGAGCAAAAGTAGCCACTAGTCTATTAAAATTAATATGAAAAGACAGTATTACCCTTTCTTCTATCTTTTTTCTGTCCATGTTCTCTTCCTTGCCAGTGAACCTCCATGGCTTTGACCCCGCCGCACAGTAGTGAACAACTTTCACCTTCTCAAGTTCCACATTCTCTGGGTGACGCCACAACATAGCTAATACCAAATTGCCTCTATATCGACGAGAATTGAGAAATATCAAAAGACAGAAACGATGTTACGTTCATTTAGCAATGTTGATCTCATTATGGGTTCATTTATTGGATAGAAGTGCTTTGGTTTAGAGTTTCGATACAGATATACGTTCTTAAAATTTATAGTATGGGTTACTACCGTTTTTGGTTTTATTTATTGGAACAATCAATAGCAAACTACGATGATTCTGGAAGATTTTTGTGCACTTCATTTGACATCAATCTTATATGTAAATTGTAATTATTATTATTTTTATTTTTTTTGTGAAAAGATACAAATAACGTTTGGTTTTCTGCTACGTTATGGATCTTGAACTTACAGTTACAAGTTCAAAAGTTAGGGACACTTGGTCCTGAACTTCGAGTTCCAAGTTCAAAAGTTAAGGACACTTGGTCCTGAACTTAGAATTACAAGTTTAAAAGTTAAGGATACTTGGTCCTGAACTTAGACTAACAAGCTCAAAAGTTAAGGACAATAGGTCTTGAACTTATAGTTACAAGTTCAAAAGTTAAGGACAATAGGTCCTGAAGTCCTGAACTTAGATTAACAAGCTCAAAAGTTAAGGACAATAGGTCCTGAACTTAGGCTAAGAAGCCCAAGAGTTAAGGACAATAGGTCCTGAAGTCCTGAACTTAGACTAACAAGCTCAAAAGTTAAGGACAATAGGTCCTGAACTTAGGCTAAAAAGCCCAAAAGTTAAGGACAATAGGTCCTGAACTTAGACTAACAAACTCAAAAGTTAAGGACANATATGAGCAAAAAGGTATTTTCGTCCGGGCAGTTAAAGTTTATTAAAGCAGTGACTAAAGACTAAAGACATTTTAAATAGTGGCTTAAAAGTAAAACATGTATGATTAGTGGCTAACCGTGCACNGGGTTGATTTTTAGCCCGAATTGATCAATGAGTAACTTTGTCAAAATATCTTAGAAATAATTGTTTTATTTGATACTTTATATATAATCATAACAAAAGAAAAAAAAATTCTTATCTAGTAATTATACAATTCATAAGAAAATAACACATTTTAAGTAAAGCATGATAAGAGTTGGGCGGGTTGGGTTATAACCCAAATTTTAGCTCGTCTTGATCCAGTCCATCTTAGCCCAAGTAACTTTTGGACGAATCATTTCTACCGCTCAATTATTGACTCAGTTCATTTTGACCTCCCAAAATCGACCCAACCTGCCCATTTGACATTCTAAATATCACTAAAGATGGATCACTTCTTAAGGATTTAAGTTACATACACTTAAAATTGTAAAGAGTTGTTAAATCATAATAAGTTACATACCATTTAAAGTAGATTATTTACCAATGCTTGTTATACATAACAGTTTAACTTAGATGCAACAGCAGTTAAAGGATATTTATATTATTTAATCAGTTGTCACCTTTAATTGTTGTAGTAAATTGTTGGGATCGAAATAAAAAACGCTAACAAACGCAAACTTTGGTGACGATAAATTTTAAACCATACTAAAAGAGAATAGTATAATGGATTTTGATCAATTGACCAATATTTATAAAAGAATTTATTAACATAAAAGAGAGTATCAAAATATCAGAGATAAATCTCCCCTAATCAAAACTCTCAAATATTAAAGGACTACATTGTAGATGTTGTTCTGTTTTCGTGTGGAGGAGAAATCCTCAATTTATCGAGGTCCACAACTTTTTTCTCCAACAAAATTATCTGTTATGAAAGAGATCTATATATTTCTTTCAGAAAAATAAAATCAATTATGATAAATATAAAATTCCATTATAGAAAGAAAATCAAAACAAACCCCTTAAATTAATATCATGATTGTGAAGATATTCTTATATATTACTTCCTCCGATCCCCAATAAGTGACCAATTTGCTTTTTTATTTTGGTCCAAAGTAAGTGTCCATTTATATAATCAAGAAAAAATTCAATTTGTTTTTCCAAAATTACGCTTATGTACGTATCCCTAAAAAGTTATTTACTCCTCACATTTGAGAAGAGAAGTAAGTGCTACTATAACTATTGTGCAATATTTAATGAAGGGTAGTTTAGTCTCGGGGAGGGTAATGCCCCTACCCTGGGGTAGAGAGGTTGTTTCCAAATAGAAATCTGGTATCTTCCCTCCAAGAACTTCTCACCTTGCTCTTGGGGAGATTCGAACTCACAACCTCTTGGTTGAAAGTGAAAGTTGTTTACCATCAGAGCAACCCCTCTTATCTAACCCTTCCCTTAATCGTGAATACGAAATACTTTTTGCAATGGCTGCACTTTCTTTTTTCTTGTATCATATATTATTTCAACCAACAGTCAAACAGAGAGAAAGAGAAGTTCGTGCTGTCACGACATTTTAGACAGAGAAATGCACGTTGGGGTGGTGGCTTTCAATGGTCGGTTGGTTGGTCCTATGTCTTAAACTTCAAATAATTAACTCTCCCTTGTAATCCAAGAGACTAATTAGTTTCCGTTTCCTTTTTAATACTCACACTTCTCTCTTTTCTCTCTTCATTCATCAAAATAATTACAAACTTTTCAATCTTCTTTTTGCTTTGATAATATTTTTCATATGAGGACTTTGTGCCCTAATTTGGATAGAGAAGATGGGCTTGAAACTGTACTTGAAGTTCCTATTCCTGAAGAAATGTTTGTTGATTCATATAAACATAAGTCATGGCAAAACATGAAATCTTGGATCAAATCTCATAGTATTAATACTGATCATAAATCAATTCATGCTTCGGTTTTTGGTGGTAGAAATGCTGAGATTCAACTCTTACTTGGTGTTGTTGCAGCTCCTTTGATTCCTCATCCTATTCGTTGTGATCACTCTGTCAATAAAAAGATTAATGATCATCCCATTGTAAGTTCTTTTACAATTCTCAAGTTTCTTTCTTCTTGTTTTTCTGTGCGGCTTTGACTACTACTCCCCCTGTCCCAATTTCTATAATGCAGTTCTGATTTTGAGAGTCACATGCTTTTTAAATATTTTGAATTGAAAATTATCGAGATTTATAGTACTTATTATATAGTTTTTAAATATGTAAATTTTATTTGAATAAATTAAGGATTCCATATTCGAATTTGCCGTCAAAATTTAAAAGTTTAACTCTTGAAATTCGACCTGAATCACCACCGAAGGATGTGGTGCAGGGGTTGGAGCTGATCTTTCATGAACCAGAGGTCTACGGTTCGAGCTCTGGATATGGAAAAATCTTTGGTAGGGAGCGTTTTCCCCTGAATGGAGTCCTATGCGGCGCGAGTCCGGATATAACGGGCTCCAATATGAATGCTGGACACAGAATGAGAAACCAATTAAAAAATTTCTTGATTTTTATGTAGACATAATAAGAATTTGAATTAGTTAGGCCAATAACTTTCAGATTATAAAACATTTATTTGCTTATCGATACCTAGTTTAATCTTGATAGAGTTCTTGAGATAATTTTTTTGTTCACTTAATTAATGGTTAGTCCATATACAGGAGGCTTCAATGGCGAAATATATAGTGCAACAATACATAGCTGCCGCGGGAGGAGAACATGCTCTAAATTCCATTGATAGTATGTACGCGATGGGGAAGGTGAAGATGGTGGCGTCCGAATTTATTGAAGGAGATGGTCTAGGATTGAACAATGGTAAGGTGATGAAAATCAAGAGCGCGAAAAATGGGCAAGGTGAAATGGGAGGATTTGTATTGTGGCAAAAAAACCCTGATCTTTGGAGCATAGAATTGGTACTTTCAGGATGTAAAATTAGTGCAGGAAGTGATGGTAGTGTTGCTTGGAGGCAAAGTCCATGGCATCATTCTCACGCGTCTCGTGGTCCCGCTCGGCCTCTTCGTCGTTCCTTACAGGTACTTTCTCGATAAATTTAACTTTTGTACATTGACATTGTATAATACCGATACGATAAAATTGCCGTGAAGCCATTTAAACTTGCACCGATTTGTCATTCATGTAAAGAAACTTAGACTTTTTCCCATTTGACCATATAAAAATAAAGTGAATGATTTGGTTATCCTGTCTTTGTGCCATCTTCCCATGTGGACCAAGGAATGGGATGCCATTTACCTAATCAATAAGTTGATATGATAAGTGGTCCAATTGACAATTTTTGTAAATATGCAAACTTCATAGCCTTAAAGAAAGTTGGGCCAAGAAGTCAACATTTAATGTACAGTCAAATCTCTCTATAATAGTCTTATTTGTTCCGATATTTTTTGGCTATTACAGTAAAGTGATGTTAGAGGACATATATTATAACATAACATAAAAATCGGTTCCGAAAAAATTTGACTTTTATAGTGATTGCTTGTTATATAGAAATGCGGTTATAGAGAGGTATGACTGTAGTTTGGAATTCTTCTTTGTTAAGGGGCCACGTTGTGTAATCACATGACCCCTTCAAGTTGTTTTATAGGGCAAGTTAGAAACAAAAACTAGAACTAACCAAAGAAAAGAGACGAAAAAGGCCAGCACTAGTGTAGCCTCTAAAATGAAAAAGAAAATAAAGAGAATAATTGTTGAATGAATATGTTCTGTATATGTGTATATTGATTAGTTGAGATTAATTATGTTAACAGGGTCTTGATCCAAAGTATTAGGATCGAAATAATCAGATGTCATGAAAGCTAGTAAAGCAAACCATGAACGACGATAAATCAGACAACAAAAAAGAAATATATCAAAAAAGATACAAATATTTTATGTGATGAGCAATTCAGTGCTGATTTATTATCCAATTCTCTTTGAATTTGCATAAAATGACACTAATCTCATACTAAAGTAAAAACAACATACTGTTATTATTTAATTATTTTTTCGATATGCCCTTAACATGAAGACAATTTTTTTTTTTTTTTTTGATAATGGGTGAGATCATACTCTAACTCAGGACCTCCATCCGCACTCACACAGTATTGAAGTGTGTGACCATCTCGTCTAAAAGCTTAAACTATTAAACAAACTATACTTTTATGTATTTAATTATGTCTTTAACATCTGACTATTTATTTAATTGGTTGAGATTAATCATGTTAACAGGGTCTTGATCCAAAGTCCACTGCTGATTTATTCTCCAATTCTATTTGTGTTGGAGAAAAGACCATAAATGCTGAAGACTGCTTTATATTAAAGCTTGAAGCAGATCCTTCAACACTAAAGGCAAGAAGCAGCAGCAATGTAGAAATTATGAGACATACTATTTGGGGCTATTTTAGCCAAAGAACAGGCCTTTTGGTACAACTTGAAGATACTCATCTTCTTAAACTAAAATCCCCTAAAAATGATGTCTTTTGGGAAACAACAATGGAATCATTTATTCAAGATTATCGAACAATCGATGGTGTTAACATTGCATATGCTGGTAAAACATCTGTTTCTTTATTCAGATTCGGCGAAAATTCAGAAGGTCATACTAGGACTAGAATGGAAGAAATTTGGACAATTGAAGAAGTTGATTTTAATATAAAAGGACTTTCTTTGGATTGTTTTTTACCACCTAGTGATTTGAAGAAAGAAGATGAAGATTGTGGGGTTGTTATGAATCATGATATAACCAAGAATTCAAGGTTGGAATTCAAGAATCATGTCAATACTCATAAATTAGTGAATGCTGGTAAAAGTGCAGCCAAAATTGTGGCTATTGATGAAAATTCAGAAGACTAATATTGAAGCAAATAAAGACTTGTAAATTTAGTATGCTGTGGTTATTTTTGTAAATAGAGAATCACAGGATATGTTGTGTATAAAGTGTTTATATATACATACACGTCTTATCTCAGTAACTTTTACTGAAGGTTTGGTTTGATAGTAAATTACTAGGGACACATGACTTTGTATAGTGTAAAGATTTTTAATGCAATCATTACTATTTTATATGTGATAGTAGGTTACTTGCTTTATTTTCTTGTTACAAGTTCCACTTATATTATAGATAAATATGTGATGACTCCCATTAGTATAAAAAATCATATGCATTGCCATTATATGTAGAAGTTGAACTCTATTTTGTATATCTATATAGCAAAATTCATATCTATGTTTATTTCTCCAGTTGGTAAACNATATATATACACTGGTTATTTTTAGTTTAAGCGGTTAGGTAGGCGACTATTTAGGTCACTGCAACAACAATTGGGCTTAGAACAAAATCGGGTTCAGCGCTGCAAACTTTCCAGGAAAGTACTATGTCCATATTCAGCTCTAGCTTGGGCATTTTCATACATAACCACTTTTGGGGCCACCATTGAAGTTGTACTGCATTGTACAAATGTTTACAAAGTGTATCTGCTCGGATCTGAAGTAGTTCAATCTCTTCAATCCAACTTCAGAAATCAAATATAAAGTTCTTTTATCTTTCAAATGCAACTTCAAAAATCTGAATTTTAATTGGTTCAACCTATTGAATGCAACTTTGTCACGCCCCAACCTCGGGGAGCGCGACCGGTGCTCAACCGAGTGAACCCAGTCGAGCAAGCCTATTAAACACTTTCTACCCAACTCACTTATGATCAAGAGGAGGCATACTTTCATTAATTAAACAATAGGAAGATCATGTAAACATTACCAAATTGTTTCATTAGTTACGTCATTATTAAGTTTCAAAATACACACATTCTTATGATTGAGTGAAACAAGAGTCTAAAATACAACATAACCCGTTGACCTTTCCAACACCCATATACAATCCATATAGTGTTTACGGTCTAAATAGATACAAAAAAAAACTATAAAAGTGCCGGCAATAAAGCCCGGACTATACCTCAAGTACAATACATAAAGGACCAAAAGATGTATGATCCTGAAGTTAAATAGGGCTCACCAAGACTGTTGGGAGGAAGATGCACCACTAACGTTGATCAGCATTGCCTGCTATGGAACCATTTAAGACGCAGCGCCCCCGGCAAAAGGGACGTTAGCACCATTGAATGGTACTAGTATGTATAACTAAACACCATCTCATTAGAATGAACAATAATACAAGAAGGAGATAATCATAAGTTTAATAAGGGCTTCAAACAATACTAAAACATCAAGTAAGGGTCACATAAGTTCTCAAATCAATTTCCATATTATTAGGTTGGGAAATCTTTAGTGCCGATATGCCACAATCCACAATACCATCGTGTTCTTATACGGAGTTCGATCTCGACCCGATTGGTTAGGTCATCTCATTTGAGACATCAATCATAACCACAATTTTCAATTATTATTTCAAGCACAGTTACCACCATGTGTGCAGCATGGTGTGTGATCACGGGCCGATCGGCTAGGCCATCTCATTCGAGACATCCACCATATCCACAATTTCAATCAATCATCTCATCTCACTTTATATTTCTTTCGCATATTTCAATATGTTAGCACGAGTGGCCTCATTTGTAAAGTCATTCTTGGCACTTGGCCGTATTTCACAATTCAAATTTTCCCTTTTTCACATTCAATATATCATTATCATCAGCAACAATCAAGCCTATCATGTAAGACGTTAGTACACGTATGGGTTAACTTGGAGAATGCTAAGAATGTAGAGGCTTTTCATACAATTTGGCATAACAACCATTATTCAATTTTTACATGAAGTCTTAACCCTTCTTAACGCACATTCCACATTTTTAAATACATCCTCAATTGACAAGATGACATGGTAAGCATTTAGAATAAATATTGAACATATATCATTCAACACAACACATTAGGAATAATCAATTCTATGATCAAATTGGGAGTTACACCAGCTACGCGAACACCGGGGGATTCGATTCTAAAAGGGGGTTTTAGCCATAAATACCTCAATTGAGCCTCTTAAAACTCTAGGATGTTCCGGAATATTAGCAACTTCAATCTATTTTAGCAATATAGAAAAATTGAATCCAAAATTAGGAAAACAATCATAATTCTAGCTCACTCGAGCATTCTATCAAACACTTTGTGTGTATTAAGGTTTCATGGCCCCTTTTTATAAAAGACTCCACCAACCCATACCACGTTCTTTTCTATCTTTAACTCACAACCTACCCACATACGTTAGGAACACATTCATGCAAGGTAATCACTTTCATCCCCATGAATTACCTTATTAATGGCCCACTCTAGTTACATTTTAAAATTAAGAGTTTGGGTGATATAATCTTACCTTTTAGGAAGAAGACCTAGGTGCCTCTCTTGATAATCTTCAAGGTGTAGAGCAAGAATTTAAGAGAAAATTTGATGAAGATCACTTTATCCCTCTAATACTCTCTTTCTCTCCCTAAAGATATCAGAAAATTAGCTCAAAAGGGCCCCTTACACCTATTTTAACGAAGTTGGGTCGGGTTTTAAAACCCCAAAAATGAAGCTCCGTAACAGGTTCTGCGGTTGCATATGCGACCGCATAATGGTAATGTGGTCCGCTAAATGACCACGAAAAGTGGCCCTAGGAACTGGGCTGGTTTGCTTCACTCTGCACCCAATATGCGGCCCGCAATCCTTTTTTGCGTTCACATAATGCGCCGCAGAACCTCCCTCTGCAAAAGTCCAAGGACGATTATGCGACAAAGTGCAGCCCACAAAATGGTTATGCAGTCACATAATTGGCTGCGAAACTGACCTCAAAATTGGCCAAAAAGACTGCTTCACTCTGCAGCCATTCTGCGGCCCACGGAGTGATTATGCGGCCACATAATGGGCCACAGAAATACCTATTTCTGCAAAAATATTTCCTTCAACTCCCCAGCGTGCTGTTCAATCCAAAAATTCTGAACTGCGGAAAATATTTATGAGGACTTACAAACTTTAGATTTTGAATCTTAAGTTCTGAAATGTAAATTTGTTCTTTGAATTTCAACAATCTAATGCACGATGCAATGCTCAAATCTACTCCAAATGAGCTCAAATTTGAAATATAACTTTCAAATATCATAAAGAACAAATTTCAATCATCAAAATGTCAAAACAATAACAAATTTAACAAACTCATTTTACAACTAAGAAGAAGAAGAAACAACACTAAAGAAGAAGAGAAAAGTATGTGTATCTGAAGTTATAACAAATCGGGTATCAATTAAACTTTTTTTAATAACTGGGTACAAATTCAATGTGTGGCGCAAAATTGAGCAGCATATGAAAATTTTAGGAAAACTTCCAGCTATGTCTATTTATAAGTAGCTTATTACAAAAATTAGTCAATTCACAAAATATTACTAATATTAGCCAAACATTATAAAAATTAGCTAATTGACTATTTATAGCCAAACAAGGTTAAATTTTTGCTTTCTTTTAAGTGATTGTTGTTAGAATAGATTGGGTATATCTTAAGGAGTTTGAATCTCAATTTTGGGATGATTTGGTGGAGTTTGAGGTGATTTACATTGAAAATTCGAAGTAGAAGATGAACATGATAAAAAAATGATGTGTATCATTTGTGTATCACATATATATCATATTTGTATCAATAGTGTATCACATATATATCATATTTGTATCAATAGTGTATCACATATATATATATATATATATCTATGTATAACTGTGTGTGTGGCATACGTGATACGTATTTGATAGTGTCACAGAAGTATTTTTTGAACTCGATTTTACCTACGAATTTTGATACCAATTCAGTCCAAATCACCTTCAATCTTCCTCAAATTTTGTAAATTGACTCATCCATATATTTTCAATGAATTTAAACTATACCAATTGAAAATTATCCTTTTTGCTTAGATTTTGGAATCTTGAATATTTTCTTTTTATATTTTATCACCTTGTTTGCTACCTCATCCATGAATTTCATTTTCGTCTTGCATCTAATGTTGCTGATCACCCTTAAAAATATGGAATGAGATCTTTGTGTGTGATTCTTGAAGAGAAAGAACCTTATTTATTTGAGTTTTAATTTTTATATGTGCTTGGTTAGTTTTAGTAAGTCTATGATAATGGGTAGAGGTCAGTAAGTTTGTACTTATTTATGTAAAATTCCCAATTTTTTACGCTCCAGCTTTAAGTTGAGACCATTGAAATTTCTCTATACTTGGCCCATTTATTAAAGGATCAACACTTTTTGTTTGAAAGGGAATGATGGAAATTAAAGGGGGGATTTGAATTCGTACCCTATATTTGTGCTACTTTTTAAATTGACCCTATTTTTAAAAATTATTGATTTGGTAGCCAGTTGACAAAAAATCTATAATAATATGACAATTACACCCCTAATAAATCGCGTTATCTGCAACCTCATTCATAAAATGCATGCTAAAGTTGTTTTACATTGAAGCATTAGCATTAGCATGCTACTTTATAGATGACCTCATTCGCATTAGCATACTGTAAAACAACCCCTGATAAATGTAGCATCATCCTAACGTTTGGAGATGACGTTGTTTTACAGTATCAGGGGTTATTCATTAGCATGCGAGATGGTGTAAAATTTCAGCTAATTACAGTAGCAGCTGAAGTTGTTTTACATTTAAGTTAAAACTTCATGTTAATGCATGCTGAAGTTATTTATCCTGCAGTCTACAGTTTGTCATGAGTTTTATTTGAAACTTCAATCTAAACATGCTGAAGTTATTTAGTTCATTTGCTAAAACTTCAGTTTAAACATGCTGAAGTTATTTAGTTCATTTGCTAAAACTTCAGTTTAAACATGCTGAAGTTATTTAGTTCATTCGCGAAAACTTTAGATTAAACATGTTTAAGTTATTTAGTTCATTTGCTAAAACTTCAGACTAAATATGCTTAAGTTATTTAGTTCATTTGCTAAAATTTCATGCCAAAACATGCTAAAATTTTGTCCTGCAGTCTACAGTTTTGTCAATAGTCCTAAAGGGAAAAATCGTCTTTTTAAAATGCTTTTGACAAAAAAATAGGTACAGATGCAAACGGAAAAGCAAAACGGGTA